GTACCACAGCCACTGCAGACCACATAACACACACAACCGCACCACCACCCACACGCCGCCGCCAACAACTTCTGGTTTCCCCTACAATCTGCACGGTATGTCAGACGTCTCGAGTTATGTAGACTCTAGACCTGTGAATGCCGTTCTAGGCATACCACCCCCGGACATAGACAAGACGGAGCTTCATCTGCCTCGGGACACACGCACAACACTTGCACAACTTCGCTCCGGCTACTGCAGCAGGTTGAACTCCTACCTGAGTAGGTTGAATGAGGATGTGCCGAATGAGTGTCCGGCATGCGGAGAGACCCCACATGACTCGAAACATCTCTGCGCATGCCCGGAAAACCCAACAACCCTAACGGCCTTGTCCCTGTGGACAAACCCCACAGAAGCTGCACGCTTCCTAGGGTTGCCGTTAGTGGAACTTGACGACAACGACTGAGATACCAACCGTTCTGGGCGGGGTTGTTGTAGCCGCTACAACAACAACAACAACATGGATACTATCCTAGAATGTCAGGGCATTGCTGTTATATCACCAGCTGCCCGCCAGAAAATCACTTTGATATTGGTTCGCTCATCTGAGATGAAAACGGTATTATAGTAGGTGACTTCAACGCGCACTACGATCTAAGGTTTTCAAGCCTGTCGAACGATCGCAGGGGAATACACTTGGCTGAGCAGATAGACGATTCGACATTCTACACAATGAACGATGACGCACTAACACGAATTTATGGGCAGTTGCAGTAGCTTGCCAGACCACCAGAGTACAACGTGGACACCTATGTTGACGGTAGCAGTTTGCTTTCGCGGAACACCGAGCCTACATCAACTTTAACAAAGTTGCTTGGAATGGTTTTATGGATGTTACTAAAAGTACCTCGTCGCCCTTCCCGCACGAACCGACGTTCATGCAGGCGAAGGAAAATTTCGCAAAGTTATCACTGCTGTTGCAGCACGCTTCATTCCCGTTGGATGTTTTGCTGAAACCCGCCCAAATTTCCCAGGTGAGGTTCGACAGATAGTAAACTTAACTAGCGAAAGAAGTGAGAAGAGCACCTGATAACTCCAAATTTTGCCTTTGGTTTGAGAAAGCTTTGGTCAACTGTAAGGTCACTGTTCAACCCGAGGATAGAGCGGAAATCTTCTTCGGTGACCGCTTCCCTTTGGACCCGGAACGATACGCCAGCCAAACCTCGAGTGACAAAGAAGGCTGCATAAGGCCGATTGTCCAGACGTCGTATGCATTCTGATGTTGAAAAAATTGGTCCAGAAGATGTAGACTACCTCACCAAGGTTCTCAATATGTCAATAACCTGTCTCATTATTCCCGACGCACAGTGTTTGGACTATATGGAGGCAGATAGAAACAAGTCATGGTGACAGTTTATAAAAAAACCGGTTGGACTTAGAGAGGGAAAAGTAAAAGTCACAAATACTACATTTCACATTATTTACTCACCCCCCTTCTTCACGAACGATGCATTTCCAAAGAAATACGGGAATCGGCGCGATACCGAGAAATCAGTTAAGTTGCCTTTGGCGGTTAACCCATTAAAGAAAATTTTTCTTTTTCAACTGTAATCAATTATTTAGATATCGTGGAATATTCAGGTGAAGGTATTTATCAGTTATTTGGAACTTTCCTATTTTCTTACCACAAAATTTACTTTAAAATGTAGATGCTAAAGATTATTAGTAAACAAAAAGTGTGAGTACCGGTCCGCCAGGTCTTGAAATTAGACGAATGTTTTAGAGAATTTTATGTAGTTTTAGAATAGGAGCGTTCCTTATCTCCCAGAAATAGTCAGAAAAAGTCCGAAGTAGTCAGATTTAGTCCAAAAAGCGTTCCTTAACTCGGAAATGACAGCAAAAATGAGAGAGCAACAGTCAGTGAGAGTGACTCTCATCAGTCCGAAGTAGTCAGATTTAGTCAGAAGAATTTTTTCTGGCAAAATCCTGAAAAGTGTCAAACTCAACTGAATTTAAATTAACGGAAA